CTGTTGAAACCGGTAGTAGATAGACCCACCGATGCGTCCAACCCACCAGGCCCTATACATACGAACCAATACGAAATAGATAAGATATTAGATTCTAGATATTGTAAGGCAGACTCCAGTATTTAGTAAAGTGGGAAGGATATCCCTTAGCACAAGTCTCCTGGGTAGCAAAATCTGACATGCATGCTACACGCCTGGTACGGAGGTTCCACCGCAGGTATCCTAACAAGCCACAGCCTGCAGAGACTGTATCTACAGTAATTAATACCTCTCCTCTTCCTCCCGCAGGTGGACCCTTGTTAGAGGGGAACTGCCTGTCGAGTCCTGGCCAGGGCTCGCCATCTCCGGGACGCTGGGGTATTTGGGACTAGACAGGGCGCTCACCTGACCTCCCGGCACAGCGGCATCGACTCTGTGCAGCAGCTAGAGAATCGGGTGATGCAGCCGAAACCTACTGGCGCTGTCCTATGACGTCAGAGCTGCGACGTTGGGCAGCACAGAACTCAACAGCTGGTGTGGGAGGGGGGAATTTTGAATTAGTTTGCCAGATGGTGGTTTGGGAGCGGGGAAAAATATAAATAGCGGTGCACGGCGGCTGCGTGCAGCGCTAACTTAAACTGTGTGTTCCGGCCCGTTTGGTTCTTCTTGCTGTGCTGCTGATTATCTTGAATAAAAGATTGTTAAAGGATGCTGCTTCTGATGATTTCTTGGTGGACACGGTCTGGATGACAGACGGAGCCGAGACTGCCCTTTTTGAAAACCATAGATAATTAGAGAATAAAAGAATAATCTAGATAGGAAATTTATCAGTTAGAATTGGAATACTTTTCAGGGTAGGTAACCCCAAGAGAATTTAGCAGTTACCTGTGACATATAAACAATACAAGAATTATTTTCAAAAACATTCAATACATCACCCTTGGCAATATCTTTTTAGATTGCTATTTATTGAAACTTCCTTTTATGAAAGAACAAATATGGAAGTTATTTATTTTTATGCTAACATACTTTTTTTGTCAACTCATCATGAATTGATTTTATAATTTGAGTCTTTGGTTTTTCTTCACTTGTATATAATGGTAGTATGGGATTCATCTGCCTTGTGCAGCTTTCTTTTTATTTTTAGAAATTCTGTCCTCATTCTCATCCTTTCTCTATCTCCCTATTTCTTATTATGAGTGTCACAGGATATTCAGTAGACTTCAAAGAGTTTCAGTTGTGGTAATTAAGCATATGCCTTTGTGTATTACTAAGATGAAAAAAATAATAAACAAGCATGGAATCCATGAACATAATTAATTCAAATATAGGGAGATTTAAAAAAGAAGACACTGAAGAAGAAGGACTGACATACTGTTCATATTTTTATGTGGTTCCTTTCTTCTAATGGGAAAGTCACTACCTTGAAACTTGTTCCTGAACTGGGAATTTGGTTCATTGCTTATAATACAACAAAGAAAGAAAGGAGAATGAAGAGGGAAGGAAAAAGAGGAAAAGGGAAGAAGGAAGGAAGGATGGATGGATCCCCCCGGTCCTGCCCAGGCCACCACAGGCGTCCTCCGACATGAGCAATGTTGAGCTGGTCATGCCTGCCCTCTTCCGCTCCAGCCCCCCCCAAGTCAACCACAACCCTGATGCGGCCCTCAACAAAATCGAGTTTGACACCCCTGGACCGAGGCATAGAGCTCTAAGAGCCAAAAAGGTTTATGCAAAACCTTAATTGTATAAGGCAGCTTGTTTGTTATATCTAATGATTGGCTATAGTTCAAGGCTTTAGAATGCTTTTAGTTATCTGCTCATGTTTTTCCTGCCCATATTATAACTATTGAGGATTTGTAGTTGCAGGAGGAACATCACTGTCCTCCTGCCCTCCTGTACCTTTTCCAAAAATCTGCTCTGTTAACTTTCCTAATTGTACAGAGCAGATTTTTGCAAAAAAAAAAAAGGTGACACAAGGAGGATTTAGTTGTGTGTGTGTGTGTGTGTGTGTGTGTGTGTGTAAAATCTATTTCTCTGTTCCATCGTGAGGTTGTTAATGTCTTCAAATCTTCTTGGTTGTATGTTGTAGTTTGAAACAAAGACTGCAGGCTCAAATTCTAATTCATAGGAAAAACAGTTGAAGAAAATCTCTATAGATAGTCCTTGCTTAGTGACTATTCACTTAGTGATTGTTAAAAACCATGGTGACACTGAACAAATAATACTCCACTTCCTAAGTTTAAAGTTAAAGCGCCCACATGGTCACAACATCAAATTTCAGGCAGCCTACATACACTTAAGGGTGCTTAAATTCCCCCTCCTATCTAACTCCTCCCAATCTTTGCCCTTTTAGCTGCTCTCAGGAAGCAGCATTCCTCACTGGAAGCAGTGGTTTTGGGGCTGAAGTAGGGGGCTCAGAAACTTTTCAAATGATGTGCGCAATTTGGAGAACAGTGGGTTCAGCCTTCTCACAAGGTTTCGAAATGCCACAGAAGTCTTCCAAAGCATTGCAAGAACAACATATACTATTTGGAGAATAATGTGAATCACCTCAGGAAGACAGTCTGGCATGGCCAGCAGCTTTCTCACTTAGGGCGAAGTTGGATATGCCTCATCAGCAACAGCTGGAAAAGGGCTGAAGGTGCAGTGTGCATAGCAGCGCCTGTGAGGGCAAGGCAGCGGGCATAGCTGGAACTCTGTGCTGAGATAGCTGTATAGATCTTGAGGTGGCATTCCTTGGTGACAGCTCTACTGAGACTGAGTAGAGGTTCAGGGCAGAATTGGCTGGCTGAATCTGCTCAGATTCTGCTGCTGGGAGAAGTACTATTGTGCAGTACTACTGTACTCTGCCAGATTGGCAGAGTTGGGGAAATTAGATGGGTAGGGAGAGTTCAAGAAGAGGAAGTATTTTACCTTCAGACTTGTGGCTGGAAAGGGCCAAGTCAGGAATGGAATAATCAGGAAGGCTTTTTTGCCTAATGACTGGTGGAATTCAATTAATGGCAACAAAATGGACCGCTGGGATTATCATAGCTAAGCAATAAGGTTACATGATATCATGCTTTATTACTATATCACTTAGCAATGAAAATTCCAGAGTCTGTTACCATTGTAAGTGAAGGAGTATTTTTTTTTTTAATTTGATTTATATGCCGCCCTTCTCCGGAGACTCAGGGTGGCTTACAATGCGTTAAGCAATAGCCTTCATACTTTTTGTATATTTATACAAAGTCAGTTTATTGCTCCCACAAACTGGGTCCTCAATTTACCTACCTTAGAAAGGATGGAAGGCTGAGTCAACCTTGAGCCTGGAGAGATTCGAACTAGCAGTAATTGCAGGCAGCTGAATGATAATAACAGGCTATTAGTTTGCTGCGCCACCAGGCTCTAGAACCTTCTGTATCTGTATCAGGTTGCCCTGTGTGTGATATTAATTCAAAAGATGGGCCCTCAACAGATCCATCATGATTCTTCTATGACAAAAAGATAAAATGATAAAAGAGTTCTCTTTTAGGACATACAGAGACCATTGTGTCCACTACTATTTTGCTACAATTGTTGACACATCAACACTGGCTCTCCTAAGATATAGCATAATGGGGGGTATTGGAATAGAATTTTGGAGCTGGCTGTGTGTGTTTGTGGAGGGGGGGAGGGGGAAATCCTAGATTCAAGTTTACCCTTAATCATAGAACAGGCTGGACTTCTTTGGATCAGTTACTCTCTTTTAGTCCAACCTACTTGACAGGATTATTATCTGGTAAATTGGACTGGAAAAAAAATAAAGGCTAATCCCTGTGTAAGCTTCCTTCACCTTCTGAAAAACAGTGAATATAAGTCAGATAAAAACAAAGTAAATAGTATTGATTAAGGTTGACATAAAGAAGATCCTAGCACGGTACTGCTAATAGAATTTTGGAGGACAAGGAAACTATAATTGTAACGGTGTGACAATACAAGAATTGCCATGTTTATGCAGTAATCTTCAAAATTCTTATCTTCAACACTCTTCCAAGTACACTGTTTAGTTATACTAGAGCCCATTAGAAATATTGTGAGCAGAAGCTTATCCAAGCAATGACTATTGAAAGAATTTAAATAGCATTCTCAATACATGAAACTTGATCAGTTGGAGATTGCATTTAATGGGTTAAAGATATTTAAGATTATGTGAAAGTGAGATTCTTGCATAAATAGAGTATTACAAAATGTAAACTATAAATATCTAAGAATTAGTATGGACTGTTGTAGGCCCGAGTGTTATTTTTAACGCACAAAACAATAATAATCTTACTTTATCCAGCTACATTTGGAATGCTTGATAAAAATGAGCTGAGTAATGAGTATGCATCAACTATTTGAATTACTTAGAAAACTGGTTTGTTTTTAAAATGGACACATTTTTTTAAGCTTAGTACAGTAGAACCTCTGGTCACGATCATAATTGTTCCATAACTTTGGTCGCAACCCAATTTAGTCATGACCCAAATATAATTTTGGAAATTTGGCCATGGGGAAAAAAAATGTGATATTTTTTGGGGGTCAGAACCCGATTTGGTCGTGGTCAGAATCATTCATGACCAGAGGTTCTACTGTATCTATGTTTTAAACTTGATTTGTATTACATTTTAGCATAATTTTAGCAGGTTTATATTCTTAAAGCGAATCCTGGATGGGTAGATGAAACTGATTGATGTAGTTGCACTGGTCCCCTTGTCAGTAGAATTAATACTGATATAGAAACTTGCATCATTAATATTTGTAGTTCCTAGATTCTCTTCTTAACCTAATTATTTTTGGTTGAAATTGTAAACTGGTGACCTCCAGAAACTGGCAGAATTCCCAGTTTTTATCCTTCTGAATTTGTTTCTATGTACAGATCTTTAAAAATATCTAGAAGTAAAAGAGACTATTTTATGCTGTTTTTTAGTTGCCTGTGACATTTAGAAAATATACCCTGGGATATTTTTTTAGAAATGTGTTTTGTTTACTTAAACTTTCTTTTTGTGTATATTTTACAGATCCATCAAGGAAGCCAACAGAGGGAAGCTTGCATTGCCAATCTCTGCCACATAATCTCCTGCTTTGGCCCTCTGATGGCAGTAGGCACTTTGCTGTGAAACTTGCCAAGCTGGACGCCACAGTTTTGAACGACTATTCTTTGGCAGCTGTTGTTCCCTCTCCTGAGACAACTAATCATGCAATCTTAGCCTGTAGTACAGGCATTCATGAAGAGCACTATGTAAGTGAAGCTGTGGTAAACAATGTGTCAGACTGCAGGGAATACAGAGATGCTGGCACCATTACTGGTAGGTAATAAACTTGACATTTCTGTCTTAGTATAAATCTGCCAATGTCATTTGGGAGGAGTTTGAACCTGTGAGTCCCAAAGAAGTGAACAGAGTCTTTGGTAACATTCATATTTTAGATCTCTGCCCCTTCTGTTGGTTAGGGAAGAAGTATTGAGTGGATCTATGCAGTGGTAAATGCCAATTTGATGCTGTAGAGGAAGGGGTTCCATTGGCTTAGAAGGAGCCCCCCATATCAAGAGACCATTTCTATATCCAGCTGACCTAGAAAAAAATCACTAAATATCTAACCTTCCCTTTTTAGGCTTAAAGCATATCTTTTTAGGTATAGAAAACATATATTTTCAGTGGCTGTCACTGTTCTCTAGAACAACTTTGCCACCAATATGTGATGGGCCCAAGATTTTAAATGATCTGGCTCTTTCCTCAGTAGTTTGGGTCTAGGTGACTAGAGTTCCTTGTTGGTTGCTTTAAATTATTCCATTCAGAATTTTATTTTGCTCATCTCGGCTATATTTTAGTAATATATATGATTTTTACTTTTTTTTAATGTTCACTTTTGTTTTACATCATCTTGGTTGATTAGGCAGATATATACATGCTTGAAATACACAAAGATGGCAAGACAGAACTAATTATTATACTATATTTTGTAAATATAAAACGCAGCATAATAATTTTTAATCTGACACAAAAAGGTCTTCTGCTTGTAGTCTTTTGCTTTGACATAGTGACTAAATTAATACTCCACAGTTGTTTTTGTTGGGTATAATCACAGATTGTACAGTTATAGAGACTAAATTGATCCACAGCGAAATGCTGTGGATATAGTATACTTAGAATTCAGCAAGGCATTCAACAAGGTAGACCACAGCTTACCTTTTGCTAAGCTAGAAAAAAGTGGGATAGATAGCTCATCATCAGATTTGTAACTGCCTGACAAACTGTACTCAACAAGTAGTCCTTAATGGGACTACATGGAGGGAAGTAAGCAGTGGGGTAGCACAAGGTCATGTGTTACTGTGTTACAGTACTCTTCAATATCTTCATAAACGAAGATGAGGGAATAGAAAGGGAATTTATCAAATTTGTAGAGATACTAAGCTGGCAGGAATAGCCAATACCTAGATCAGAGGTAGTCAAGCTTTTTATACCTATTGCCCACTTTTGTATCTCTGTTAGTAGTAAAATTTTCTAACCACTCACCGTTTCCACAGTAATGGTGATTTATAAAGTAGGAAAGTAACTTTACTTTATACAATTTATAAAGCAGAGTTACAGCAAGTTAAAACATACAATAATAATTACTTACCAAATACTTTATGTCGGACTTTCGCTAAATTTGGCAGAATAAATCTTTATAAAACAACTTACTGTAGTTAAATCTATCTTTTTATTTATACTTTTCATACATAGAAATATGAAGTTTGATGAAATTACATTTAATTAATTAAATTATTAATGAGATCCCTGAGGCTGATACTGCGAAACTAAATACTGGATATCTGGCTCAATTTTTGTAAGGAACAAATGAAGGTCTCCTCTTTTGGAAATATTCAGGCGGTTTCTTTCTTTGGTCATAATATGATTAACAGCACTAAAACCTGATTCCACAAGATATGAGGTAGGGAAAGGTATCAATAAACTGAATATCATTTTCCACATTTTTGGATATAAGACAGGCATTTTTTTATTTTGCCATAGGTTTTCATATCCACCACTATCAAATTTATGTTTAGTTTCTTCATCATATCTAATTTCTAACAGTCCTTGGCAAGTTGTATCAGCCTCTTCAATATTTGCGGTAAAAGGATTTTTCCTCCAGTCATACACCTTCAATTTTAAAATATCTTCAAATCGTTTTTCTTTTTTTTTTTAATTAAAGAATTTAACAAAAAAAAATTTTTTTAACAAATATTTCCCCGTCCCCCCTCCCTTCCTTACCCCCCCCCCACTCCCGAACTTCCCAGAACAAAATACAGGGTATAACAATTAACAATCATATACTAAACTAAGCTAACTATCTATGGATCCCTATCCCCCACTTCACACTTTAACTCCCCTTTTACTTAACTAAATATGAATACTCTTAATTTTTCTATTCATTCATAAGCTATTTGATATTTTTTAGTCCGATATTTGTTTTGAATATAATCAATCCATCTTCTCCATTCCGATATATATCTTTCTTGTGAGTGATCTTTCAAATAAGCTGAAATTTTCACATTTCTGCTAAATTCGCTATTTTTAATGTCCATTCTTCAATAGTAGGCAAATCTTCCTTCTTCCAATATTGCGCCACCAAAAGTCTAGCTGCAGTTATTAAATTTAAGATCAATTTAGTCTCTATAACCGTACAATCTGTGATTATACCCAACAAAAACAACTGTGGAGTAAACGTTATCTTCTTTTTAAGAATATTTTGGATAATCCACCATATTTTAATCCAAAATGCTTTAACTTTTTTACAAGTCCACCATATATGATAATAAGTGGCATCATCACAATCACATCTCCAACACTTAGATTGCAAATTCGAATAAATACAAGCTAACTTTTTAGGATCTAAATGCCATCTATAAAACATTTTATAAAAATTTTCTCTTAAATTTTGTGCTTGCGTAAATTTCACATTTCTAACCCATATTATTTCCCAAGTTTCCATCATTATTGGTTCCTGAATATTTTGTGTCCATTTTATCATACAATCCTTAACTAATTTTCCATGGCGATGCTACGCAATTCATTGGTGGGATTATCTCATTCTTGCTTGATAGGGACTGAGAGTGTACTGTGCCTTTAAATCTTTCCTCTGGCCACTCCTCCCTGCTCTGTGGCTCGTCAGTTATTTCTCTCAGTCTTAGTATAGGGACGTGAGTATAGTTCTCTCACATTTGTGAGATTTTGCTTTTGGATTAGTGCCTTTGTAGTTTTATATATAGTGTAAATAGCCTTGTATATTTTTGTATATAGTTGTATATAGTTTAGTTATAAATTTTAATATTAGGATTGGGAGCGTAACCATGTGAGAGGCTGCTGCGCAGGCAGCTAGCCTTTAGCTGGTGACGTGGCCGTCGCTGGGAAGCCGGCTTGACTGTCCCGTCCTGAGTTGCAGCAATCGGAGTTTTCCTTTGAAGCTCCGAACAGCTTGAAAGCTGTCTTTCTTGGCCGCCGGCGTGCGTCCCGGGATTGCTGGTCCGCTGGTTGTCCCTTCGCCGCCATTTCGTTCCCTCCTTAGTTGGCGGCTACAGAGTTCCTGCTCGGGGATCCGAGTTCAAACTCTGTTTTGGACTTTGCCTCACGGCGCTTAGGGGACTGTTGTCTCTCACACCTTGTTTGCCAAGCCTTAAACAGCCACTTCAGCACTGGCTGTAGAGAGAAGCAGAGCCGTTGGATTTTCGTGCGCTTTTTCCGAGCGCCATTTTCTCTGCTGTGAAGTTGCTGAGCCGTTTGGAATTTTCGCGCCATTTTGAGGACTCTTTGAAGCGAGGCTGTGCTTTTCAAGCACTGTCTGCCCCTGGCGCTTTTGCTCCAGTCTTACCAACAGTGACTGCATTGTCGTGAGTACAGACTTTACTTTTGGGACCTGGTGGATTTTTCAAAGGGAAATTTTATTCCCATTTAAACTGCTGTGACTGGAGGCTGCGATCTTAAACGAACTTGGGAGTTTTACTGCAAGCTTAGCTATCCTGTCGCACCTGGTATTCTGCCTTGGATAATTACCATGGCTGACCAGGAATTTTCATCAGACCCTGAACAGGTTCCAATTACCCCTAGGCTTAAGAAGACTTCCAAGAAGAAATCTAGGGGTCATTCCACCAATACAGGACAGCCTTCCAGTGGTTCTTCTACCACGGGCAGGGAAGAGCAGAGGAGGCACAAAACCCTCGAAAAGCAATTTACCAGAGCTCAGACACAAGCTCAGCTAAGGGGGGAGATAGTTGAGGAAACCAACCAGCAGATGGTTGGGGGTCAGGAACTGGATTTGCCCCCCCCCCAAACATCCCAAGTGGCAACTTCTGATCCCAGGGGATCCTTCCCTGTTCCATCTCAAGAAGCCATGCCAGAATGTAGGCCAGGACTTTCGGCTACCTTTACACCAACTGCGGCTGGCCTCTGTCCCCCAGAGGGACTGGGTTGGCCCCCTCAATTAGACTTTCAAGCCCTTTTTATGGATGCCTTGGCCAAGGCCATTACTTCTGGCCTTCAACAAGGGAGGCATCCTCAGGCGGGTCTGCCTGCCTGGCAGATGCCATTACCTCCTCCTCCTATTTCTGCTCCTTCGTCCTATCCTCCCATGCCTCCTCCTCCCCCTCCCATTCCATCTCCTCCTCCAGGACTAGCTCAGGTATCTCAAGTTCCAGTAGAATCACCAAGTGAGGATTCTTACACTGCAGAAGGAGATCATGTTGAGCCTGAGTTTTCTGATGATGATGAAGCTCCTCCAGAGAGACCGGCGTTCACCACCTTGTTCAGGCCTGCTGTATTTAAAACATTACTTAGGAAGGCTAAGGCTGCTACGAACATGGGCACAATTGTTAATCCGGCCACCCAAGGGTCAGCAGAACCACACCCTCATGGCGAACTATTTGCCGTGCCCTCCCCTGATCAGGACTTTATTCCATGTCCTGATCTGTTTAAGGAAGTGATTAAGAGGCAATGGGATTCACCAGGGGTTCTATCCACCCCTAGTGGACATGACAAAAAGCTCTATGTATTGACCCGACTCTGGAAGATCTTCTTAGTTTACCTTCTGTAGATCCACCTGTCGTTAACCTCTCTTCATCTGCTGTTCTGTCATCGGACGCTGTGGAGGTCTTGAAGTCCGACGAATGAAAGACTGAAATTTCCTTCCGGAAAATGCACCAGGCGGCAGCTTGGGCAGTGAAAGCCGCAACCTCCACATCTTTCTTTAACAGAGCTACATTGATTTGGCTCCGGCAGTTACAGGAAAGGTTGCCCCCGGAGGACACCAGGCTTAACCAAGTCCTGAACAAGTT